ATAGGTAGACCCATGAGGGACAGGGCAGGGGGAGCACTAAGAAACCAAAGGAATAATGGGTTCCTTTGTTGTGCTAGAGTCATGTTTGAGTATGGTTAAGCTCCAGTGCTGCTCAACCCTCAAATGGTCATTTTTGTCCAGGCCCTGATATTCAACATTTAGTGTTTAAAGTGCAATTTGAGTAGTTTCCTAGGGAATACTAATTCTCAGAAGGAGAAATTCACACTCACAAACCTCACAGGAGATTGACTGATAAACAAATGTATCCATTTTGGGGTGAGAAATGAAGTACTAAGCAAACTGAAATGTTTTTTCACTATTCATTCTTGTTTTCCCAGGTTCCTTTTATATATTATTTATACTTTTTTAAAAGCTGTGTTTATTATAAAATTCGTGAATGTTGATTAACTAGTTTAGAAACTCCAGAAAAGCCCATTCAGGATCACCCATAGTTACCCTGTTGATGTATTACTTCTTTTGCTTTTATTTATTTTTTCTTCTGTATTTATTTTGTTTTCTTAGTGGTTTTGTTTTTATGCATAATCAACTCTTAATTATCTGCCATGCACTAATTTGTGGATTGATTATCATTAGATCTATGACAAATAACTTGTGAGAAAATATTAAACCTATCACAAATCAGTGAAAAATTTTATCAAACAAATATCTATTGAACGTACACTCTGTGCCAAGCACATAACTGCAGAGTGAACAGCTGGCACACATGGAGTTGACTGCCACAGAAGGAAGCCCCATCTCCTCCCTCACTTACCAGAGGAGGTCCCTCTGCTTCCCTCAATCCCACTGGACAGGGGTTCATGGCCAAACAGATGGCTACACATGGAAGGATTTGGTGAAAAAGAGGACGAAAGGGAGGAAACACACCTCAATTCCACTCCGATATGTGAAGATTTCCCAGGTTCCATTCATTTTTATGTTTTATTGTATTTTTAATTTCCATTACCTCTTTAGTCCCCTTATATCCCCATCCCCCCAAAAATCACCACACTGTTGTCCATATCCATGAGTCCTTTTTCCATTTTGCTCAATCCCTCCATCCCCTATGCTCTCCCCCTTAGCTGTCATCCTGTTCTCTATGAGACTGTCTCAATTTTTTCTGGTTTGTTCATTAGATTCCACATATGAGTGAAACCATATGGTATTTGTCTTTCTGTGATTGGCTTATTTCACTTCGCATAATATTCTCTAGGTTCACCCATACTGTCACCACGGGTACAATTTTCTTCTTTTTTTAAGATTGAGTAGTATTCCATTGTGTAAATGCCCCCATAGTTGTTTTATCTACTCATCTACTGATGGACACTTGGGCTGCTTCCATATCTTGGTGATTGTAAATAATGCTACAATGAACATAGGGGTGCTTATGTTCTTTGTTCTTATGTTCTTTTGAATTAGTATCTTGGGTTCCTTCGGATATATTCCCAGAAGTGGGATTGCTGAATCAAAAGGCAGATGCATTTTTAATTTTTTGAGGTATCTCCATACGGTTTTCCACAGTGGCTGCACCAATCTGCATTCCCACCAACAATGCAAAAGGGTTCCCCTTTCTTCACATCCTGACCAACACTTGTTTCTTTATCTATTGATGATAGCCATTCTGACACGTGATAGCTCACTGTGGTTCTAATTTGCATTTCTCTGATGATTAGTGACGTTGAGCATCTTTTCATATGTCTATGGGCCATCTGTATGTCCTCTATGGAGAAGTATCTATTCAGGTCCTTTGCCCATTTTTTAACTGGGTTTGTGGTTTTTTTTGGTGTTGTCTTAGGTTCCTTTTAAATATTGTCAAACACAGTAGTTGGGCCTCATCCTATAGATTTCAGTTACTTTCAAGTTGTCTTTCTGTCTAGTCTTAGTGCTGACGACTTACTTTACACATCTCTATGCTTTCACAAAGTGTGACGCTTCCAAGTAAAGAGATTGTGATTAATAGATTATATTTAAGGCTGACTACTTTTGACCTGGCATAAGACATTCCTACTGCCAAGGCATCCCACTGATTATGGGACTCTTTGCAAATGCTGATTCCTCTTAGCCCCAAATCTTTTATTCCCAAACTTGTCACTGAGCTTTTGCTAGCATTATGGCTTCATAGAAAATTGTGTTAGTAGTGGGGGGTGGGGAATGCAGGCAACTGTATTTGGACAAAAATAAAATTTAAAATAAAATAAAATAAAATAAATAAAATAAAATAAAATAAAATAAAATAAACATTGTGTCAGTACATGTAAAGCATTTAGAAAGACCTGGCTGGTATTAAATGCTCCATGAACATAATTTTCCTTCTCTGCATTCCTCTTTAGTGGGAAATGGAAGTTATTCAGAAAAGGTGTTTAATAACATTTTATTTAAATAATGGTAGGGCAAATTCTTGGGTTATCCTTAGATGATAAGAACTTTAAGCTAGTCTTTCATTCTGACATATCCCTCACTTTATGTACCACCAACATTGAATAGTGGCCATTGCATGGCTCCTAGAATGGCATAATTGAGTCTCTGTGTGAACAGAAGCAAGTGGATTAAAGATTTCTAAATATTCAGTCCTTCACCATCTACAAGTAGCATTCTGTAAAGTATCAGTCAATATTTGTTAATGATGAGTTTGAGTTAAATAACCTCAAGAAAAGGAGTTGTTTTTCTTAATAAGGATTGACACAGAATGGTTAATACAGATAATATGTTTATTAAATTTTGGCTGATGGGATTCAGTGATTCTACAAGGATTCTGAATAATCATGTATGTTTGGCTTTGGACTACATATATATGTTATTGTCCTCCTTTTTTTTTCACTGCTACTGGATTAAAATTATCGTCTTTTGCTATGTATAATGTGTACCCACATTTTTGATCCAAACTTTCAGGAAAAAATCTTCTGTCTTAAGTTTTTAATTCAATTTTTATTTTTTTATATTTAGAAACAAAACTGATTATCATATTCCACAGTATTATTTTGCAAAAGGATATCATCATTGTTTTCTAGAGTTACACTTTTAGTGCATAAGCATAAATAAAAGAATTAAAAACAGTTATATAGATAAGGAATTAGTACTACCCATGTATAATGTGCATCCTTGTTTTTTCCAGAAAAATTTGGGCCAAAGAGTACACATTGTACATGGCAAAATATGGAGGTTTTTTTTTTCTGAGAACAGTGGTTTCTAAGAATATTTTGTTTATTTTTTAGAGAGGGAAAGGGAGATAGAAAGAGAGGGAGACAAACATCAATGTGTGGTTGCCTCTCATGCACACCCTACCAGGAACCTGGCCCACAACACAGGCATGGGCCCTAGACTGAGAATTGAACCAGCAACCCTTTGGTTTGCAGGCTGGCATTCAACCACTGATCCACATCAGCCAGGGCCTGAGAACAGTGTTTGTTGGGGAATTGGTAAACTTTGGGCCATGATTAAATCTCATCTTAATGATGCAAATGCATGCTGTGCATACAAATATAGGATGCAATTTTGTAATGGTTGCATTTTGTCATTAATGGAATTTGTTTATTGATGCTTCTCAGGAATTTTCTGTAGGGTTTGAAAACATAATGAAATGTAATAGAGAACTCAACAGTCCTTCCTCATCTAAGATAAGCCAGAGTATGGCCCTGCTGTCAATGAAAGAGAAAGAGGCCCTGGGCTGGTGTGACTCAGCTGATTGAGCACTGGCCTGCAAACCAAAGGGTCATTGGTTCAGTTCCCAGTCAGGGCACATGCCTGGGTTGTGGATCAGATCCACAGTAGGGGGGCACGTGAGAAGCAACCGCACATTGATGTTTCTCTTCCTTTCTCCCTCCCTTCACTCTGTCTAAAATAAATAAATAGAATCTTTTAAAAAATAGGAAGGGGAAGAATCCCATTTTAGGGCCTCAGCCACATATATGGAAAATGGTAAGGATGTCTGTCTGCCTCCTGATCTTAGCCAATTACAGTCTGACTTCTGCCTCCACCACTTCACTGGAAGTGTTCTCATCAGTGTCACTAGTTTTGGTTGATGCTGCCATTAATTTCCCTGCCATGTTTGACATGATTGTTCAGTCTCTCCTTCATGACAACTTTTTTTGGAATCCCATACTCCACAATATACTGGTTTTCTCCTCCTTATGGGTGACATTTCATTTTTTTATTCTGTTTTTTTTTCTCTCCTCTAAATATTGTAATCATTCCTGAATTCTATCATTACTCTATTCTTCTGGTCCACATTGATGAATTGTTCACCAAGCTACTACAAGAGTTTTTTAGCTTATATCCCTTCTTTCAAACTTGTCCCTCTCTAACTCATTTTCTTCCCTGCAGCCAGAGTGATCATGTCAAGACAGAAATCAGACCATGCTATGTCCATCCTGAAAACCCATTATCAACTTTTCCTATGCACTCACAACACAATCTGAATTTTTGACTCCAGTCAACAAGATCTGCATGGCCTGGCCCTGCCATCCTCTCTTAACATGTCCTTTCTGTTTCCTTGTTTTCTCTGACTCTGTTCTTTACTTTATGGTTCCAGCTTGAACCCTCCTAGGGACCCTGAACTTGCCCTTATTGCAGTCTGGAACTTCCTCTGCATGTGCACAGGGTAAGCTCTTTGATCCCCTCCAGGCTCTGACCAAAGGACACCTCTTCAGGAGGCCTTGCCTGACCACCCTGTCTATTGAGGCTTCCCCTCCCTATCTCTGTCATATCTTTGCTTACTTCTTTCCTAAAATGAATTCAAATTGTAATTATTTTGTTTGTTTGTTTTGCATTATCATCTGACTTCCCCATGAGAATTTGTCAGGTCTGAGTTTTCACTCTGGACTTTCCTCCTACTATGAAATTTTAAAAAATGACACTGGGGAGTACATTTATGTTCATGTGGGGTGATGTAACACAAATTATACCTCAACCTCTAAGTTGGTTTCCAGATACTTCCATCATCATAATATTTATGAGGAGTTGAGAAAAAGTGGTTAAACCCCACCTGTTCCACTCAACTTATGAATATGGCAGGAGATCATATTCCACCCAACCAATTAGATTTTCTGTCTGATGGCTTAACTAGCCTCAGCAAAGGTGAACTGATTTACAAACCTGGTAGTAATGCACTCGGAGGAGGAATTATTGTCAGCTATCTCTCTGCAGGTGACTCAAAAGCCATAGCAATGTCTGAAGTGGGAATGGCGTTGAATAAAACGGTGCAAGGTCCTGAGAAAATCACTGCTGATATAAAACATCAATTAATGAAGGAAATTCGACAGTTTGGGCGAAGTAAGTAGTATAGCAATTTTTACCAAATAAACCATGGGAAGTCTCTCTTATTCAATGATTTAGAATAGATTCAACTTACCTACCTCTTGAGGCTCGTATATTGCCAGAAACAGGTTTTCACATAATTTAGGATAGTTTCTCTTTACTTGGACTAAAATGCCACAATATACACTTGCCCTCTTTTTTTTCTTACTTGGTTATTGTTTCCAGGAGTTCCATTGGTACATATGTTCAGGTGTGTTGATTTAAACACTTAAAACACACGCACTATGTAACAGTCTAGACCTTGAATAATTACTGAGATAGTGGATACACAAAGATTGAATTTTATCTCCTCTTTGTATTTGAGAAATACTAAACATTTATTTTTAAATATATCTTCAGAATATGAAAAAATCTTCAAATTGCTTGAAGAAGTACAAGGACCTCTAGAAGTGAAGAAAGAATTGGTTGAATTTGCCATCAAGGAAGCAGCAAGGTGGGTATAAAAGAGGAACTCTCCAACTTTTTTTAACAGCTAAGCCTAATGCAGTGCTGGGATGAGTGCTGGGTACAGACCCTGGCTTGCTTTTCTCAAACCCTGATTGTCTCTCAGAGTTAAGGTTGTCACCACCATTATTGAGGTTGATATTTTCTGAGTTTGTCTCATTCTTCCAAGCTCAAGGAAATTTCTATTCACACCAGAGTTTGAGGTGCGAGTTGAACCTGAATTGACACACTTTTTTCTTTGTATTTGCTAGATTGTCTCTTACCCTGAAAATGTATTTTCTATTCCCATGTAAATAATAAGCTCTTTCTATTCTCTACAGTGCCTCCAGTACTGGCATCACAGATTCTTTGCATATATTTTGGCTAATGACTTGTCTCTTTATTTTTAGATTTAAAAGAAGACATTTGATTCAGCAACTTGAGGAGTTCCTAGAAAAAATACATTCCGACTATTTTCAAGACACCCCAAACATGTAATTCTGTTATCAAAATGATCCATGAGAAAGAAGAACCAGATTGTTGTGGTCTGGAATGGAACAGGATATGGTTCAAATCTCCTAGAATGTGTTAGTTAAGAAAATTGTCTTCTAGAGACTAAGAAAAGCATTGTAACTTTAATGTTACAAAGTTCCATTAGTACAATAAAAGTTCGGCAGTTGCCCTAATGATGCATTTGAAAGGATTGTTTGTTTGCTTATTTGTTTTCCTACCTGAAGTGGGAATGCTATTAATTCAGCAGGTTACACTATATGTCTAGTTCTGCAGCAGGTCACAGCTGGTGTTGCAGCTGGTATTTATAACTATCTTCTACACTACCCATTTCTTATTCTTTTTGCCTGAGATAGCACCTAAGCTGCTGGATGGCTTTTCCTGGGGAAATTATTCAAACCTTAATTACTGATAGATCTGGACTATTAGGCATCCTGCCTGAATTGAACTGTTATAATTTTATTTTTTATTTTAATAACAAAACATGAGAATACCAGAAGAGCTCCAAACATTCTAGACATATTCCTCCTTAGTGTCTTTTGTAGTTGCAACCCAATTTCCTTTGATAGTTAAGTTCCATCTCCTCAGACTGTACAAGAACCCCATTTTTGCCTGCTGATTGAGAGAGATAAGCAATCTAATGTGACCCGCTGGCAGCATCTACTTCCATTTCAGTCATTGTTAGGGCTTCTCTTGAAAATGATTCTCCTTTGGAATGAAGACCTCAAGTACAGTAGAGTCTAAATTGTGAGAACGTGAAGCAAATTTTTGCTACTGGATACACAGGAGTAATAGTGAGAGGAAGTCCTCATATTGCCGCCCCTTCATTAAGAAAGATGTGAATCATGGCTATAGGAGAAACAGTTCCATATACTAGATGCTGAGATATAGCATTGTTGCCTCCTAAATTATATTACCCCACCCTCAAAAGGTACTGCCACCAAGTTAGAACAATAACTGTAGCTTCAAAAGATCCTTCCAGTGTTCCACTGAAACTGCAACTTCAGGATGATGCTGTGTGGAATACCATGGTGGTAGTTAAGGCATTTTATAAGTCCACAAATGTTGTTTTTCTTAAGGTACTATGGATGGGAAGGAAGATCAATACCAAGAATAAATGTTTATTTGAATAAATGTTGTATTTATACAAACAAAAGCTGCCTTTCCCTATGGAAGCAGACTGATATAATTAACTGGCCACTTGGTAGCTTGCTGAATACACTAGGATATAGTGCCATGTCAGGTGTTCTCTGTTGGTCTCTGCTGCTGGTCTATTGAGCAGTCAGCAGTGTGTGTAGCAAGATAATCTTGGTGAGTGGAAGTTCATGTTTGTGGCCCATGCATAATCTGCATCACTGCCTCCATGACCACGATGCACCATTATTGCATGGAAGATGGAAGAATACACCTAAAGAGGTATGAGGGTACTCCTGAAATCTCAGAGTGGCTTTATCTGGGACAGCAAGAAAATGGGGAACTCAGTCCTACAGCCTTAAGAAATTAGACCTGACAATAACCTGAAAGACTTTGGAAGCAGTTTTTGTCTCTGAGTTGCCACTTAATGACTGACACCTTGACATTGATATTGTAAGACCTTAAGCAGAGAAACCAACCAAACCAGCCTGGACTTTTGACCTGTAGAACTGTTTGATAACATATTTGTATTGTTTTAAGCTGATAAATTTGTGTTGATTGGTACGCAGCAATAGAATTCTAATGCAGGCAGTGCCTGCATGTTGTGAAATAACTGAAAACTAGGCACCATTTTTTTCCTGTCAGCTGGCTACAGGAGGCTCCACATGAGGCCATAGGATCAGGATCAGAGAAATTTATCTTTTCCTGGACCCCACTCCAAGGCTTGTTGATGGGTACCACAGGACAATGAGTTACATGTTACGATCAACACCTAGGAGGCCAACTCATTGTTGTGACTCTTTTTTAGAAAAAAAAAAGATGCTGGAACTTGTTGTTCACTTATGAGCACTATCTTGACATTTCCCAGCTACTAGATCACTAAAAATTTCACTAATTTGGAAGGCCCCTGATTTTGTGCGGGAATTATTTAACATCTTTGTCAAGTGTGTCATCAATATAGCTATATTAGTTGCTACTTCTCAAACAGAATAATGCCATCAGTGCAAAAAAGTGCCATATTTAGTATAAGGGAAAGGTGATACAAGTCTCCACAAACTAGAATATGACATAAGCCTAAGAGAGTTGATATAAGCCTCAGGGAAAAAGTGATGGGCATTGTTGACCTTTTCAGCTGAAGGCAAACTCTTTCTGGTGATATTTATTGATAAGGGGGGAAAGCATTTGCTCAGTCAATACTGTATACCAGTGCCTGGGGATGTGTTGATTGCTAAAACAACAAAACCACATGTAGAACAGCAGCTACAATTTGAACGTTTATGTGATTGGATTATTATAATCAGCTGTCATTCTTGTCTGTTTCCATATAAGAAAAATAGGTAAGTTGAAAGGGATGTCATAAAATAACAGCCTTACACATTGCACTCTTTTTAAAAAGATTTTATTTATTTATTTTTAGAGAGATGGCAAAGGAGGGATAGAGGGAGGGAGAGAAACATCAATGCATGAGAGAAATATTGATTGACTGTCTCTTGTATGTGCCCCAACTGGGGACCAAACCTACAACCAGGCACGTGCCCTGACTGGGAATTGAACTGGCGACCTTTCAGTTTGCAGGATGATGCCCAACCAACTGAACCACACTGGACAGAGCACATGTTGCATTCTGGATGGTGCCTAGTGGCTGACCTTAGATCACATCAGAGCATGATCTCTTTTGTTCCATGAGGGAGATCTCAGCAGACACCAGACACTGCTGGGGTCAGTTCCACATCATGGGGTCAGCCCTTGCACAGGAGCTTGTACACTGTGGTCAGGGTCAATCCTCACAGTCAATTTGAGGGGCAACCCAACCCACAGAAGGGCCAACAAAAATCAAGACTCAACTAAAACAGGAGGACTCACATAACCCATACACAAAATTCCTGGAGCACCAAGCTCAGGTGATCAGGGAGACTGCATCACTGAGCCCCACTACATAAGGTAAGCCTACTAAGACTTGGAGACATAGCAGATCTACCTAATACATAGAAACAAACACAAAGAAGCAGCCAAAATGAGGAGATAAATATGTCCCAAATGAAAGAAAAACAAAAATACAATAAAAAAGAACAAAATGAAATGGAGGCAAGCAATTTACCAAGTATAGAGTTCAAGACAATGGTTATAAGGATGCTCAAGAAACTTAGTGAGAATTTTAGTTGCATAAAGAAGATACCAAAACCATAAAAACAGTCAGAAATGAAGAATGCATTATCCGAAATAAAGAATATACTAGAAGGAATCAACATCAGGTTAGATGAAGCAGAGGATTTAATCAGTGATTTGGAAAACAAGGTAGCAGAAAACAACCAATAAGAGCAGCGAAAATTTTTTTTAAATGAGGATAGTTTAAGGGACTTTTGGAAAAACATGAAATGTAACGTATTTATTATAAGGGTACCATAAGGAGAAGACAGAGGGACATACAAAAATATGTTCAACAAATATTACAGCCCTGGCTGGCATAGTTCAGTGGATTGAGCACGGGCTGCGAACCAAAGTGTTGCAGGTTCAATTCCCAGTCAGGGCACATGCCTGGGTTGAAGGTCACGGCCCCCAGCAACTGCACACTGATGTTTCTCTCTCTCTCTCTTTCTCCTTCCCTTCCCTCTCTAAAAAATAAATTAAATCTTAAAAAAATATGTTCAACATCACTAAGTTATTTGCAGATAATTTACCATAGCCGAGATATGGAAGCAACATAAGTGTCCATCAGTAGATGAGTGGATAAAGAACTGGTACATATATGCAATGGAATACCTCTCGGCTATAAAAAAAGAATGAAATCTTACCATCTGCAACAACATGGATGGAGCCAAGTGAAATTAGGCAGATAAAGACAAATGCCATATGATTTAATTTACATGTGATCCAAAACAAATCCAAAACAAATTAAATTCATAAACAAAATGGAAACAAATTTATATATACAGATGAGAGAGGGTATTGGAGGACTGGGTGAAAAAGATGAAGGTATAAAAAGTATAAAGTGGCAGTTACAATATAGTCATGGGGATGTAAAATACAGCATTGGGAATACAGTGTGTAATATGGGTGGTGCCAGGTGTGTACCAGACTTCTATGGGAGACCACTTCATAAGTTTTATAAATGTCTAACCATTATGTTGTACACCTAAACCTAATACACATCCCAGTTCGACAACCCGCCAGAGATGAAATTATGCACCTGAAGATCCCTCCCCAGGGCTGAGATTAAGTGGCCAAGATAATGTCATCTCTTAGGACTAAAAGAGACCACCTATAGAAAGTTCCTTTCTAGGGCTGAGGTGGAGCACCTCAGAAAAAGCTCCACCCCACAGGGAGGAGACAGAGCCCATGAGAAACAAACCACCACAGGGTTGAAGTAATGAGTCTTCCTGGGAAGAGTCTTCTTCCAGGAAGAGTCACCACAGTCAGGTTGAACTTGATGACCAATGGAAGTTCTCCATAGGTTTAGAGCAAGCATACAAGGACCCTCCGCCCCCCACCCTCCACTAAAGGTTGAAGTCTACATCTTGCTAGAAAGGCCGAGGTATGATTTAACAGATGGCAAAGAATTTTTGAGGTGCCACACCAGGGGAAATTTCTGGAAATTCACCGTCTGCAATTAGAGATAAATCATGCCGAGAAGAATCCCTTTGCCCATGGCTGAGAGAGTTCTCTCAAGGAAAATCTCTTCCAAAACATGGTTGAGATGGAGTGCCTTGGTGAGAGCTCCTCGCCACAAGCCTGAAATAAAGTACCTAAGTAACCCACACAGGAGATAGAGCACTCAAGGAAAAGTATCCCCACCCCCAGTGTTGAAATTCTCTCTTTGCTGGAGAAGCCTAGCAAAAACTTACAGAATGTCAATAAGGTTGTCATTGTGCCACATCAGTGGAACGTTCTAGAAATCTGTGCTCTGGGAGTTGCTGGAAATCTGCCTCTAAAGCCTCTGGGAATGTTGCACA